GGAGGAAGGTCCTACTTTTGATTTCTGAGATCGCCAGCTAAAATGATCCAATAGCAGGTAATGGAACCAGCACTGGACTGTGACCCGGGAGAGCTGGTGGCAGGGAGAGTAGGCAATTCTGGGCTGGAAGAATAAATCATCTGACCTGGTAAAAGCATTCCAAAGGATGTTCTATCTTCCTTGCTGGAAGTCTGAAACAAACAGGGGCAAGCGAACACTGCACAGTATTCTTTACCAGCATTAAACTTCCTTTGAAGCACCTTTCTGGCCATTGTCCAAGTTGGTATCCTTGACTAAGAGGGCTTTATTTCTGCCTTGGTACAGCTGATTCTGTGTTCTGGTGTTCTTCTTCCCTCCACTTCTAAATATTTCTAAATGTTAAAGGCCTCCTTGAAACTTCACTCAGTGTCTCTGCAGGTGAGGCCCATTCTTAGCTCTGCGCAGTCACTTTTCCTTCCTCTCATCCTTGAAAGACTCACACATCCAAGATTTCATCTTAGGCACCCTGCTGTTTTTTAGACTCTGTGCCACAAATGAAAAGCTGCTGGATATATATCCCTTTTTCACTCAACTGCACCCCAACCCCAGTCAAAACCGCTCAGTTCTCTATTCTTAATGATACCGTAGCTACCTTCTCATCCATTCCTTGTGAGAAAGTGCTGATAATTCTTGTAAGGAATCTCAGGTAAGGAAAGTTCCCTCTCCTCTTCTCCCCAACCAGCCCTCCCATGGCTCTATTATTCAGGAAGCCAGACCCACCCTCCAAAAAGGCTTTATGGAGGTGGTTGTAAGGGGAAAGAGGAAACAGGAAACTTTCCTTTATCTGGGATCCAAGCCATTATTTATTGGAGTATTCTGCTTTATACTTCATTCCCCTTCTCTGTAGAACAAGGGGAGCTAATGTGCTGCTACTCAGTTGTTGTGTACTACAGAGCCCACCTAGACCATTAGTCTTGCTTGTTGAGGTTGATGGGAGTTGTAGCCCACAACATCTGAATAGCACCAAATTGTATTCCCCAGAAAGATAGCCATAGGTAGATGGATGGATTCTAGATAGATCTTATTAGAGGAACATTTCAGAAACACAAATGACTGTCCTTTATCTATGATTTTCAGAATCAACTTTTACTGTTGTATGGCTGTCCTTTACTTATGTTTTGCCTGGATCTGTCCCCCCTTCTGTACAACTGCCAAGGAGATAGTGCCAGCTTGATGTACATGGCCAAAGGTAATGTGTGCCCTCTGTTCTTCTATCACAGCTCTTGGCCTGAGCCATTTAGCAGCTGTCTCATGTTGTTTCTCATTTCCTATTTAGAGATAACCTCCGTGTTCAATGTGTATTCGACTGGTTTGTTTCCCAACAACTATACATCCTATCTGTAGCAATTAACCCTGGAAGTACCTCAAACAGCATGGATCAGAGTAAGCTTCTGTTTTATATTTATATATATATATAACCCTGGCTTTTTCCTAAGGTGCTCAGAACAGTGCCAAAAGTTCTCTTTCACCCTTATTCTCTTCAGAACAAGTCTGTAAGTGGGTCAGGCTGAGATAAAGAACTACTAAGGCCATCCAGTGGGCTTCATGAATGAGTGGGAATTGGAGCTCTAGTCTCTCTGATCCTAGTCAAGATACTTTAATCACTTCACAATGCTGGCTCTCTTAAGTTTATGTAAGAAGTGGGTGATTTTCTATTCCCGCAAACATCTCCCCCCTCCTCCCCACCCTCTCATAATACAGTGAGCCACATTTGAGATCCCACAAAACTGCAAGCCAAGGCTGCCGGGAATAGTGTTACAGTCTTTGCCATCATTTCAGCTCACAAGCAAAATTTGCTGGTGTTCTGGACTGTTAAAGGCAGCAGATCTACGGTCCTGCAGGTTTGGCACTGCAGCTTCCTATTGGCTAGGTGACCATGTCAGTGAACCAAGCTTGGAAACACGTCAGCTGAACACACAGCTGAATCAAACTCAGATTAATTTTGTCAGATGGTTGTTTTTGTCCACTAACAGATCACCTTCTCAGACTAGTATCTGGAATGAATTACAGTGACAGCTGCTGTGGTTATGTAGCAGTCTTTCAGGCTATTAACAAGCCCTTGACAGATGTTATAATCTCCGCTGCTAGTTAAGCAATTATTTGGGTTGAAATAGTTATTTGATAAATATCAGCTTTGCTGTCCCACACAAAAACAAGGCAATTGAGTGCCCGAGAATGTGCAGTATACTGGATAGGGCTTCAGACTGGGAAGAGGGAGGTAACTTTGAACAAGTCTAGTCAATCTCTCACAGGGTTCTGCATAAAATGGGATGGCCCCATTGTGTCCCAAGCTTCTAGGAAGAAGCATAGGATGCAAATTTGCTGTTAGAAATCTGTGGCATTCAAGATGACACTGGACTCTAAGGCTGCATATGCATGGTACCTTTAAAGCACATTCACAATACATCTCCTCCCCCCCTCAAAGAATTCTGGGCACTGTGGTCCACCCCTTACAGAATTGCAGTTCCCAGCACCCTCAACAAACTACAGTGCCCAGAATTCTTTGAGGGTTGAAATGCACTTTGAATGTGCTTTAAAGGTACCGTGTTTATGAGCCTCATTCCCATCAGCCCCAGATTGCATGCCCAGTGGAGAAGGCCACAAGCTCCCCAGCCCTTTACTAAATACAGTTTCACAGAAGAGATTTGATCATCCCCTGCAGTATGTGTAGAGCCTTTAATTGCTCTGTACATATTAACAAAAGCTCACTGCTTGAAGCTTATATATATTTTAGTAAACAGCTAAAACAACCTGGGCACCTTACAGAGATTAAACGAACCAAGCAATTCTTCCCTCCGTGCTTATTACAATTGAAGGAAAGGCACAGCAAGGACAATTGGCCCAGTGAGAGAAGAGGGTGCAGGGAGCAAGTGGAATAGAGACCAGACTTTGGAAAAGAGAGGAATCCTTCAATGCTAGAAGAAGGAGGAGGAGAAGAAGAAGAAGAGTAGTAGTTTGGATTTGATATCCCGCTTTATCACTACCGGAGGAGTCTCAGAGCAGCTAACATTCTCCTTTCCCTTCCTCCCTCACAACAAATACTCTGTGAGGTGAGTGGGGCTGAGAGACTTCAGAGAAGTGTGACTAGCCCAAGGTGGTGATGGACATATGAGGTGGGTGTTGGTGTGTTTCAGCATTTCCATAACAAGTGATAGCACAAGTGATAGATAAGAGGTGAAACTCCTGGGCATTTAAAGATCTTGGTATCAGACAAAGACTGCATATGCACCATACATGCAAAGTACCTTCCCCACCCCAAAATCCTGGGAACTGCAGTTTGTTATGGGTCCTGGGGGATAAACTACAGTTCCCAGGCATCTTTGGGGGAAGCAATGTGCTTGAAATGTGTGTTGCGTATGCAGCCCAAAGGCAACAAGGAAGCAAGGGGGGGGGGAGAATAAAAACATGAGATAACTGAATGGGACTTCATAAGGAAGAGGAAGCTAGTGCAAAGAACTGCAAAGAGTGTAGTGTAGTGATCAACTGCAGAAAATGTGCTGATTTCGATGCAGTTCATGATTCTGATTTGTGAATGGGCTGGTTTTAAACAGACAGCATGTTCAGCACCAGTGATCCCATTGAAAACCATCTCATCCTGCAGTTTAATTTGCAAAACAATCATCTAAGATGCATTATTATAGTCATTATTATTAGCAAGTGAGGTCAGTGGAGTTGCTCCCCCTCCCATTTTCCCGTCAAGTTATTAAAAAGGTGACCATTTGCTCTAAGCCTTACAGTTATTTCAAGGGTTACATAATTCCACAATACAAGCACGATGCCTGTATAGGAACTAACATGAAATCTGCATGCAGAACCTAACATTTGATGGTTACACACGTAGAATGGGTTTGTGTGGAGATCTTGCTGCATGTACACATTTCTGAATGCCACAACCAAGCTGCATAAGTTGGCAGGATATCAATGCTGTGAGAATGTAGATTTGCTATTAGAGATAATCATAGAGATACTTTTAAATGCTTTGTTTTATAAAGTGATGTAAGTAGGCTTCAGTGCTAGGATGCAGCGGGGGGCGGGGATTCAAATGCACAATGAATCATCAATGTAGGAAGGAAATGTTTGGTGTTTTCTTTTTCATAGCTTTGGGTTGTTTTTTTAAAAAAACAGAATTTTATTACCATTACTAACAACCCAAAAGTTCAGTAGCAGGGTATTGTCAGTCTAAATAGTCAGTACTGACATTTGCAGAGAGGACTGAATAGGCAATTTAATTATTTTAGATCATTTTTTATAGACTTGAGACCAGAATAATGAAACCCAAGGGCATTCCCACCCAATATGGTGTTGTTAGGAGACCCCCTCCACTTCTCCCAAAGCTACAACTCCCAAAGTTCCCTGTGCAGAAGGACTGATTGCTAAACCACTCTAGGAATTGTAGCTCTGTGAGGGGAACATATGCCTCATAACAAGTCTCAGCACCCTTAACAGGCTACAGCTCCCAGGATTCTTTGGGGGAAACAAGGAAGTGGTATCATCGTGCTTTTAATGTAGTGTGGTACCTCTGGTTAAGAACTTAATTCATTCCGGAGGTCTGTTCTTAACCTGAAACTGTTCTTAACTTGAAGCACCACTTTAGCTAATGGGGCCTCCTGCTGCAACTGCACGATTTCTGTTCTCATCCTGAAGCAAAGTTCTTAACCCAAGGTACTATTTCTGGGTTAATGGAGTCTGTAACCTGAAGTGTCTTTTAATCTGAGGTACCACTGTATGGTGTGAAGTTTGTTACTGGCTCTGCTGTCGACAGCTGTGATTAGCCAGCAGAGAAGATGGACAGCAAAGATTCCAGGGGGTCTCTGGGTGATGGGAAATTTGGAAATATGGCTCTGAAAGACACAGGACATTTGGGCTACAGCTTTGGATATTGGGGAGCAGAAAAAGAAATATTAGTAGAGTTGTGCCCAACCTTGCCCTAGTGATCAGCCTCCTGTGTTCCTATCCCTACCTGGAGATGCTAGGAATTAAACCTGGAACCTTCTGCATGCAAGGCTGATGCTCTGTCACTGAGCTATTCCCCCTCCTCTTCCTTGGAACAGCCTTACGGCAGTCTTGTAGGATGCAGGGTCTTCCCAAGACCTATTCCTTCTGACTCTCATTTGTACAAGGTGCCTCTGCCTCAGAATCATCACCCAAGGATTGTCACAACATGGAATTTCCCCACATGGTTTCATACGGCCTAGAATGAACTTACATGCACCTACCCAGTGGCATCGTGTGCTTGCAAAACCATGGCAGGGCAATCTCTTGCAACGCTTTCCTAAGCACTTTATTTGCCACCTCGGCAAATCTTATGAGCAGGCCATTAGTCACGGCATTGTTTTGTTTTTACCCGAGTAAGCAGCTAATTATCAGATGCAAATGACGGCTGTTGTGTCTCAGTGCCGATTATATTTTGGGGATATTATCTAATGAAGAGCAATCAATCTGAAGTATATCAAAGAGAAAAATCTGTTATTTGTTTGGGAAACTGCCTTATATATGTTTGCTTTTGTGCATAAATACCATTCTGGGAAATGTTGATGATGATGTTATGAGTTTGCTGTGGTTGAGTCAATTGCTAAATAACTCTGGAAGTGCCAGCTCCAGGTTTTAGGGGACTCTTGCTCAAGATACCTTCAGCTGGCTTCCCTCTCTAAGTGTCTCCACTTCCTTCTCACTGTTGCTACTGCCCATTTGCTTGCCTTGTTTCTCTGGGCTATCTCATGTCTCAACTTGGCTACAGTCTTTAGGGGAAGCTGACTGCAGCAAGAGCATCTACTGCTAGGGCTTAGTCATGTCAGGCCAGGCAGGTTTTCAAGAACAAGGCAGGGTGTTTCAGGACCCTGGACAGAGAACTGTAGAAGCTGCAGGGAGAAGCCTTCACTCTCACACAAAGGAGGCTGCTGTTTGCCCTGGAGCATCCTGCAGCCTTTCTCAACCTGTGGGTCCCCAGATGTTGTTGAACTACAACTCCCATCACCCCTAGCTAGCAAGGCCAGAGCTCAGGGATGATGGGAGTTGTAGTCCAACAGCATCTGGGGACCCACAGGTTGAGAACCGCTGAAAGGAGTGTTCTGAGTTTTTAAAGGGACATTGTCTATTATTGCAGCCATTGCTTTCTATGGCATAGGGTTATGTGAGGGCTGCACTGGGACTCTGTTTTCCAGATCCAAAAATTCTGGCAAAGCTACATCTTCCCACCTGGAAGGGGAGATGGGGCTCCATTACTGCTGCACCTTCCCCCAATGTCTTATTCTGAGCTTGACTAGAGATCAAGGCTGGAGAACTGGACATGCAGTTTGGTCCAATCTTCATGGCCACAAAGAGGGAGAGGGTAGGGCAGTGGTTTGCTGCTACTCCTTTTCCCCATCACTAAGAAATTTCCCATCAGGAACTCTCTAGTGCAGCCAAGGGAACTTATGGTGATCAGCATTGACAGTGAGTCCCTTTGAAGTATGTTTGCAGGTGCAGGTTGGATCTAAACCACATCTGCAAATGGATATTTATTTACTTTTAGGCTCCGAAGCATTCTTTAAGCAACAGTGAATCTTATGGATGCTGAGAGTGGCAGAAGTCACTCTTCCTTGGGCATTTGGGTATTTGAAACCCACAGAGTTGCCTGTTTAATTTGCAGGCACATCTTTTGATGAGGAGGACCAACAAGTTAGGTGGTAGTGGAAATATTGAGAATGGCTTTCGTTCACCCCTGATTGATGCATTGTTCTTCTTTCATATCCCCCCCTCCATGGTTTTTACTGGTTGGTTTGCTTCCTCTGCCTTCTGTTTCGCTTCTTTTGTGGAAAGCTGGTCTTTTAAACTCAGCACTGCATTTATGGAAAACAGTTCTGAGAAGAGATGAAACTGGGGCATCCAGAAAGACACTTTTCTCTCTACAGAGTGGGACCACAGCAGGTTGTATCGCTGAGATGAAATGTGGAATTCGGTGACACACACACACAGATGGAGGGAAGGTTGCTTCCCTGCTTCTCTGTGTTTTATAGCAGAATCCTAGGCATATGTACCAGAAATAAGTCTCACTGCATTCAATAGGGCTTCTCCACTCCTAGCTGTTGTTTTTAAATTAAAAGGATACATATTTTTTTAAATGTGGACTGGCCCTAACAGTATCTATGCATGGAGCAGCTAATCTAGTGACTTCCATATGTTGTTTGACTCCAGCCATAGTGGTGTAGTGGTTAGAGTGTTAGACTAAGGCCTGGGTGACTGGGATTCCAATCCCCTGTCAGCCTTGGGTCAGTCACTGTCTCTCAGCCTAACCTACCTCCAGAATGCGGCAGCTAGACTGGTGACTGGGAGCAGCCGCTGAGAGACCTACACAGGCTCCCAGTACTTTTCTGAGCACAATTCAAAGTGTTGGTGCTGACCTTTAAAGCCCTAAATGGCCTCGGCCCAGTATACCTAAAGGAGCGTCTCCACCCCCATCATTCTACCTGGACACTGAGGTCCAGTGCCAAGGGCCTTCTGGTGGTTCCCTAACTGCAAGAAGCCAAGTTACAGGGAACCAGGCAGAGGGCCTTCTCGGTAGTGGCACCCGCCCTGCCACCAGATGTCAACAACTTCCAGACTTTTAGAAGACATCTGAAGGCAGCCCTGTTTAGGGAAGCTTTTAATGTTTAATGGATTACTGTATTTTAATGTTTTGTTGGAAGCTGCCCAGAGTGGCTGGGGAAGCCCAGCCAGATGGGCGGGGTATAAATAATAATAAATAATAATAATAATAATAATAATAATAATAATAACTATTGCCTTACCTTGCAGGGCTGTTGTGAGGATGAAATGGAAAGGGCAAGAAGGAAAGTGGGATATAAATATTATAAATAAATAAAAAGTACCTAGGGCTCATGGAAGTAGTAGCTCAACAGTCACCAAGTTGGCTATCCCTGCAGTTGGTTAAAAAAAAATGCACACCTGAATGAAAATCAATTAAAACATTCCCATCAGTATCCGTCTATCTCAGGAGACAATGGAGGAGTGCACCTTTGGGGGTGAAGTCAAACTGTTCAAAGGTTGCAGCGCCTGCTGTGGCTGTAGAGACCGATATGGGAGAGACATGTTTTGTTGCAGCAGGGGCAGATGAAGGCGTCTGGTTCTGCTGATGCAGGTGTACCATGGCATTATCTCTCTCTCTGCTCCTCCCAGAGGTCATTCCTCCTCTGGTCACTGGTGTGGATACATGACCTGACTGGTTGTCTCAAGGCACTGCAGTAATCTGCAAGGGATTCCCACGTGGCAGGATTGATGCTGCCAGTTTTCATGTCACATTTGCAGACATCTTTGCAACACAGAGGTGGTCTGCCAATGGGCCTGGTGCCTGAAGCCAGCTCTGTGTAGGGCACATCCCTGGGGGTCCTTCCATTCTGTGGACATGACCAAGCCAGCACAGACGTCACTGAAATAGGAGTGTAAACATGCTGGGCTTGAGAGAGCACATTTTTGTTTCATTTAATATATTTGCTATATTGAAGTAATTGCAAGTTGGAGGGTTTCTTTTCTTTTTGGGTTGACTTTAGGTAACAGGTTCCTTTAGAGCATGCAACTCCAAACTCGGTCCTCCAGCTGTTTTGGGACTACAACTCCCATCATCCCTAGCTAACAGGACCAGTGGTCAGAGATGATGGGAATTGTAGTCCCAAAATAGCTGGAGGACCGAGTTTGGGGACGCCTGCTTTAGAGCAGGGTGTGGCTAACCAGATGCCCTTCAGATCTTGCTAAACTTCTCCTCCCATTATCACTGACTATTAGCCAGGCTTGCTAGGGCTGATGACAGCTGCAGCTCAGTAACATCTGGAGGACCACAGGTGAGCCTTGAAAGAAGAGTTATCCCTTCCTTCCTTACACCCATTCATCCTTTCACTGTTATCACCTTTGCATTTGGTCTATCCCCCAGTTTATCTATGGTGAGCAGAAGAGCTATGAATGACAATCATGATATAATTTCTTTTACAATGGCAGATCTAATCTATTTCTGTGACAGAGGGTGCATCAAGGTTCCATCAACTCTTTTGGCATACAAGACACGAATGACAGCAAAGCTATGAGTGATTGTGAAAGATGAGCACAAATCACTCTGCTGGAGCTTCAGCGGGGAAGAATGGGCATTGAAGTAAATAGTTCTCTTAGAAATCAGGGAATCACAGGGTTGTATCCAACAGAGTCATCTCGTTCATGCACGGACTTCTGCTTGTGCAGTGGTACATCGCCTCCCTCTCCTTTTTTCAGGCACCCCCCAGATCTGTTCTGGGGGTTCCAGATGGGACAATTTTGTTGGATATAACCCATACAGCTAAGCCATCTAGTCCAGCCCCCTACTTGACTGGAAATTACTGGTAGATAGCAGGGTGATTTGCCGAAGATTGGCAAAGTTTGCTGACTCCCAATGGTTTAACAGTAGCAACAAAACATACCCCCACTCCCAAATAATCCATAAATGCTAGAAGTTCCATTTTCTCATTTTACATGAGAGGGAGGAAATCTCAGAAACTTAAATCCCAGGGTCCTGGTTTGGACACCATGGGAAACTGTTCACCGTGGAAAATTGTACTCTAAGAAACCAGGAAGCTGCTTCTCCTTTCGCACCAAGTGTGCAAGAGGGGGAGGAAAAGAGGGCTGATTCAGCTTTAGGGTGCAATGGAGATATGGACCTGAATATGATCTCTCTCTCCTCCCCTCTCCCATCTGTACAGATCCTAAGAAATAGCATGCCTAACTTGGCTCTATTCTTACTTGAAAGCTTTTTGCTCTCTTAGTATGATGCATTCTGAATCAGGCTGTTCGATGGCAGCTTTAGCACAGATGGGGGAAAAGAAAAACCTCCTTGACATTTAGGCTATAATGAAACATCAAATAGAAAATATAGCTCATTAACCTCAAGGGATGTGTGATCAGGGCATTTGGATCCATTAGACTGGGAAGTGCCATACTTGCCTAATTGGAGAGCATGATATTCAGGAAATGTGCTCCCTTTATAAATAAAACAACTGGAGATGCTGCGTTATCTATATGCCATTTGTGATTTTGAGCAAGGCAGGTACATCAAAAAGTAAATAGCCTAATGAGATTCAAGTTGGCTTAGATGTGTGAGCAAAGGTTCATTTTAGGAGACTGCAGAGAGTGAAATTCCTCCCCCTCCCCACCTTCACAGAGAGTACAAAGAATTTGTTCAGATATCTTACCTGCTTTCAAGAAAGGCTGTCAGCATAACTGGATTTGTCAGGATAGTTCTATTTTTAAAGGAATGTCCCAAACCAGCCTCTCTGCACCAAGGCAGTTTTAATTTGGCTTTCCTTTTCGGCCTTTAGTTTTTCTGTAACGCTCTCAAAAGCAGTTGTCATGATGGGCCTAGCAGCTCAGCAAAGGAAAAGGAGATAAAAGCTTGTGTAGTTTGCAAAATAGATTAACATATGGTGAATTTGCTGGGATTCCGTGTCTGGCTTTCATTGTTTTATGGGGGTCTGTAGAACTGGTGGGCTGCAATTGTGGCTGAAACTTCCCCATCATTGCTTGGAGGCCTCTCCCCTGGGTCCTACCTCCACTGTCAAAAGCATCATGAATGTCACTTGCTGGGAATTACAAATGGGTACAATGGCCTTTGTGGTCAAGTCCTGATTTTGGTCTTTTCATGGGCATCTGGTTGCCCACTATGAGATCAGGGTGTTATATTAGAAGGGTCATTGGCCTGATCCAGTAAAATTCTTCTTACATCACATCCTTTTCATGGTGATCATTTTTATTTGTCTTTGGTGGAGGGGAAAGGGATAGCAGACAGAAAAAGCCTGGCACTGCACTCCTTCATTATGTTGCCTGCCACCCCAATCTCCAAGTGGTGTGAAATTTTAGGAGTCTAGGCACTTACCCAGGGTCTGTGTTTCCTTTGGAAATAAGGCACAGCAAAGACTGTGGTGTCTTTATGATATATGGTTTATTTACGCATCTATACAACCTGAGTCTAGATGGAGGAAAATCCCAGCATTACATACCATACAGAGAGTCCCTTACTTCTCCCACAGGCGCAGCAGGCTTGGATCTAAAGACAGAAATCCTCCATCCCTCCCCCTTGTTACAGCCTGCTACCATCAGCCCACATCATATTCTGCCTCTTCTTCCTCCTTGCTGCTGCTAACCTAGTGAAACCATTTCCCTCCATCCTATGTCATCCAAACCAGAAATCCTAAACTCTTCTTGTCTCTCTGCCTGTGGCATTTGTACGGAGCCCCCGGTCGTCTCACGGACTATTGACCCCTACACCACTAATCCGCTGCCACCAACCAGGTCATCCCCGGTAAAATCACTTCAGCCTCAGTCAGGTTCTCAATTAATAAAGAAGAGTGTATTTTATTTCAGACACAAACAAACTTTTCCGGCATTCCAAACATTGTTACTCTTTACTTTCTTAGTCTTATTTTCCTCTCTCTATCTCTTCTACCTCCCCTCACTCAAGAACCCACTGCCCTAACTGTCTCTCTATTTCCAACTGCCTGCCAGCTGCTTCTCCAACTGCCTTTCCCAACCAGCCAACCCACTAAAACCAACCAACTACCCACCAACAATTCCCAACAACTCAAACCTCGGGCTAAGCCCTTTTATACACAGGTAGGCTCTGCCTCCGGCTTTCCTATTGGTCTATATTTTTAACCCTATCTCTACCCCCTGTTCAAACATTTTCTAAATGAACGGGCAAACGCCACACTGCCCACTAACACACAGCTGCAGGAGGGGCCCCACACCAGCAGGAGACTTTGTTCCTCCAATGATCCCCACTCAGTTAGTTCTGCCAAGCTGGCCTGGCTCGCTAGCATAAGCTGAATCCAGGAGTTTCTGTGTTCAGCACGGTTTAGTCCAACCTTGATTAATTCTAACTTTTACTAAAGTCAAGAGTTATGAGTGACTTACACCCACATGCTCTGGCACCCAGAACCTATAACAGTATTAAATCGAATGCTCAGAGAACCGTGTCATGAGTTTCCATTCCAAGAATTTGGCATTAATATTGAAGAAGTGCAGTGCATCTTGTGAGTGAGCAGAAGGGATCCTTGATCATCCCATATGGTCACACACACTAACAACATTTTGAAAATAAATATCGGTCCAGAGAATATGCTTACTTTGAAAGGCAAAATAGGATTTGGTGTTTTACTAGGGACAGGTGTCCCCTCCAAAAAAGAAAAAGGGGGAAAGAGGCTTTCTCTAGTAATTAGAGGCTTTTGTTTTTGTTTTAAAATATAGACCACTTACAAGTATTGAACAATATACAACGTAACCTGAAATATGTTTATCATAAAAAACATAATCGAAAAAATGAAGCAGCAGAAGTCTGTGAGAACATAGAGGTATCAAATTCAACCTTAAGGCAAAAGGGTATGTTTCCAAGAGGCACCAAAAGCAAATAATTCATGGTGCCTTGTGAGGTTCAGAGGAAAGGAATGCAGAATAAATGAATTCAAAGTGCATTTAAACACACACACCCAAAATCTCCTGGGAACTGTAGTCTGTTAGAGGTGCTTGGAATTGTAGCTTTTTAAGTAGAAAACTACAGTTCCCAGGTTTTTTGTAGGGGAGTGCTTTAAATGTAAAATGTGTCCATAGCCTGAGTTGAAAGTACAAATTTCACATCTGTGCATCTGTAGATGTTTGGATGTCCAGATGTTTTGCAGAAGCATTGGCAAGACTATTGATCCCTTTAAAACAGGAACTGCTCTCCTGCAGTTCTTGTTCGGAAGATGCTTTGTCAAGATGGCTTGGATACCAATGACATTTATTGGAATTATAATTGACTTCATGATTTGTTTCTCCTACAGCTTGTTGGCCAAGTGAGTTTGACTGGTTGGCTCAGAGAGGGGGGGGGGGAAGTGTTGCCCTGGAGTTTCCAATATGAAGGATGATTGATTGAGAAGCTATTTGAGCAGACACTGTTCAGATGACAAGAACACTTGATTTACTCGCAGTCGCTAGCTGTAACTGGGAGCTGAGTACATGCTCAAAGGCTTAAAGTGACAACTGCAATAGAATAACCCTCATGTCTTAGCCCAAAATATCCCTCGGCTATGAACTTCACAGCTGTCTTATTGTCCTACTCTGTACAATAATTTAAGAAGAATAAGAGATTGCTCTCTGATTACTAATGGTGCCTGAGGCCCAGATCTCAACAGAGGTACACAACACCTTTTGAAAGCAATGTAAGGATGTAGAAAAAATTGTTTTTCAGTGCCAGCCAAGCTAATTCACAGTTCCTGGACCTATGAGCTGATGAGAAAATAGCTAACAATGGCTAAACACCTATGTAGTTTGTGATGCCTACAGAAATCTGTATTTTAGGGGCAAATGCTTACAGAATTTGTACAGAATGTGTGTATTAGGGAAGAGTGTGCATAAAATTGCATAGAACTTAAATGCAATTTAGACAGAATGGGGTTAACAAATAAACTGTGGTGAATGGAATGGAAAGGTATTTATTTTTGAATGCGTATGAAACTGACACAGAAGAGGAATAAACTGATATATTCCATCCCTAAGTTTATGCAATCGTTCTTTCTTTTCCTTCTTTCCAAAGCACTTGTAGACCCAGCTGACCTAAGCAACTTGGTTGCTAACAGAATGAAATATCTGTCTCTACAAATCTGAAGGGTACAAACCTCCTGGCAGTACCCAGTCATTCTTACACGGAGCTCATTTGGACATCGCTGAACATTCATTCTGCAGCTGTCCTTGAACCACCTCTGCGAACGCAAACACAAGGAAATGGAGCCACTCGCCTTTTCCTCGACTGAAACACCAAGCGGGTGTTGCTTTTGCAGAACCACAGTGGTTTTAAGAATGCCGAAAGAATGTACCAATTCTTGTCGTCACCACTTTAAGGGCAGAATGAGGGTTTTAATCTGTGTTAGCTAATCCCTGGTTTGGTTCTTGTTATCATTTAATTTGGAATAAAATGTGATGGCACAGGTGGGGTTCTGCAACAAAATGGTGCAGCATGGAATGCTTCTGTTGAGGGTTCCATTCCATTTCCTGCCCCACCCCTTAATTCTCGTCTCCAACGCTCAGTTAGTATCCCGTGACAACGTAGTGATGGTAGGCAGGGGAATGGGGGAATCAGATGAGCGACTGTTAGGGAATCTTACGATAAAGGGCAGAGTGATGCTACTTTTGTTACTACTTTGGTTATAACTAATGTTACACATATTACTAGTTACACATTACTAATGTGGGTGGTGCTGTGGGTTAAACCACACAAACTAGGGCTTGCCGATCAGAAGGTCGGCGGTTTGAATCCCTGCAACAGGGTGAGCTCCCGTTGCTCGGTCCCTGCTCCTGCCAACCTAGCAGTTCAAAAGTATGTCAAAGTGCAAGTAGATAAATAGGTACCGCTCCGGCGGGAAGGTAAATGGCATTTCCGTGTGCTGCTCTGGTTCGCCAGAAGTGGCTTAGTCATGCTGGCCACATGACCCGGAAGCTGTATGCCGGCTCCCTCGGCCAGTAAAGCGAGATGAGCGCCACAGCCCCAGAGTCGGTCATGACTGGACCTAATGGTCAGGGGCCCCTTTACCTTTACCTAATGTTACACATAAGCAATGACCCTGACAGCTTGAAGATTGGAAACAGGGGGAAGGATAAGTCGCTTTTCCGCACAAAGGCATCCGACACAATCTACAAAGTTTGAAGCCAAACACAACATTGGTCACATTTCTATTATCTGCTCTGCATTTAACAAAAGTCGGTGGGAGACTGTTTTCCAGCCTAATTGCCAGGGAGGGAGGCATCCTTTGAGGTGACTTGCAGGGGGAAGGGAGCAATAACCCTCTCTGTGTGCTGTGAGTTTCATGACGATCACCTCCTCCTGCCAATTAGGCTTGAAAATATTTCAAGTGCTTTTTCCCCAAGCCTAATTGCTGCTGTGGAGTGTGTGAGAGGGTATGAATCTCCCTCCCTCCCCTTCTCTCTCTTTCTGTGTATGCATTAGAGAGAGCAATGGAAAAAGTTTGTGTACGTTGCATTGGGCTGACTGGCACATGATCCCCAGAAGATTAATCCTGAGGGAATGAGGTCCTCATGCTAAAAGGGGGTTTCCTGTTCCTGATTCCTGACAATGCTGGGCCAGATGGACCAATGGTGTGATTCTGCGTAAGCTAACTTTCAATATTCCAGGCAGGGTTTCCATTATACATTTACTCTCTTGTGAAAAGCTTTCTGCCAGAAGAAAGTACAGTGGTACCTTGGGTTCTTAACCTGAAACTGTTCTTAACCTGAAGCACCACTTTAGCTAATGGGGCCTCCCACTGCCGCTGTGCCGCCGGAGCATGATTTCTGTTCTCATCCTAAAACAAAGTTCTTAACCCGAGGTACTATTTCTGGGTTAGCGGAGTCTGTAACCTGAAGTGCATGTAACCTGAAGCGTATGTAACCCGAGGTACCACTGTAACACAAAAGAAAGGGTTCTAGATAGTCCTCTGCTAGTTGTCTACTTGTAGGGAGTTGTGTGGCTTCCTTCCTTCCTTCCTTCCTTCCTTCCTTCCTTCCTTCCTTCCTTCCTTCCTTCCGAAATGATAATCCCCCTTGCCTTCCAAAGTGATCAATGCATTCTACCATCTCTGGATTGCATGGCGAAGCCCCAGGCCCTGCAATTCCCTTAGATAATAAACACACAGACACAAATGTTTAGGAGGTTAATGGGATAAAATAGGCCACAACTTTATTGGTTACAGATGTGAGTGGTTTGGCTTAGGCATCCAGACTATATCCTGGCTCCTGCCCATCTGCAGAGAGTCTCATAAGGTTAAATCACCGGTAGGGGGAGCCCTATGATATAATAGGGCACCCCCAGGGTCTCCGATAGGGTCATGGCATGGCCTTAGTTCACGCCCAGGTTTTGGACAGGATCCACACCCCCAGATCCAATTAATGGGATACCCTTAACGAGGAGGGGCAGGCGGAGGCAATAACCTCCCTTCCCATAAACAAGACTTACTCAATGCCTAACCTTACAAAGTTGTGACGATTGCTACAAGGTAAGCGAAATCCAAATGGCTGGTGCCAATTTGCCAGGTGGAAAAATCCCTACTGGACTGCCAGTTGATTTGTGTGGGGTCTTCCCAATAAAGAGAACCTTGAAAGCAAACTCCCCACCCTAGCAAGAGCTGGCTTCTTGCAGTCATTTATCTAGGCAACCTTCTCCATCAAGGAGGTCTTGTTCCAATGCACATTAGCAGCGGCTGGCTGGAAATGTTTAATGCCCATTTCCTGGCTGTGTGCCAATCAGGACAAAAAACTGAGAAGGGAGGAAGAAAGAGCAGCAAGGAGTGGAGGAAACCATTTGGCTTCATTTCAGGATATTAAATGTTGGCTCTGGTGCCAACCTTTCGTTGTTGTTGCTTTTGTTTTGTGTGTGTGTGTGTGTTTTGGGGAGTGTCTTAATTTCAGATTCATGGCTGGATTTCATCACCAATAGGGGATACACCGTGAAAGCAAATGCAGATCTGATTGCCTCCTTTTGTTTGCTTTTCTTCCGAGGGAAATGAACTATCTTTAGCTGCTCAGAAGTTTGAAATAACAAAAGGCTTCCCCTCCCCTGTAACACAGCTGGCAAGGGACCCCTCCCCCAATTTCTTAATACCTTGATATCTGGAGCCATCCTAGCAAACTAATGCTGGTGCAAATAGGTGGGAAGCCCCAGCAAAATCCCCTGATATTGAAGTGCTTCTGAGTAGACCAGAATGCTGGAGAAATATTTACTGAACAATAAAACACAAAAACACTACCTTTGGCCACAATAAGTTACAGTCAAAACTCCCACCTTGGCCCAGACTGTAAGGAATTACCAAGTGCCCAGAGAATGAGTCTTGAAAGGGGAAGTTGGTTTTGCAAAGGAAGAAAACACCTGGGAAAATTGGGAGCAAATTTGAGCACAGAGCTAATGCCCACCCCCCACCCCCGACTGCTAATGCTCCCTCATGATGCATTTGACACCATGGCTATAAACAATTAGAGACAAAGCACAGTGATGAGCCAATGTGTATTCTCCTCCACCCACACTTTGAGTACCGTATTTTTTGCTTTATAAGACTCACTTTTTCCCTCCTAAAAAGTAAGGGGAAATGTATGTGCGTCTTATGGAGTGGATGCAGTCTGTGCAGCTATTGCAGAAGCCACAACAGCAAGAGGAATTGCTGCTTTCACTGCGCAGCAATCCCTCTTGCTGTTCTGGCTTCTGAGACTCAGAATATTTTTTTTCTTGTTTTCCTCCTCCAAAAACTAGGTGCGTATTGTGGTCTGGTGCGTCCTATAGAGCAAAAAATACGGTGCATGCTCATTGATCCATTTGATTCTTTCCCCACTTCATTGCCTTCTCCCCAAGAGCATACATTGCCTCTCCCTTAAGCCTCCTTTGGGACATGAACCAATCAGATGGAGAGACAACACAATTCATTGGCAGAGCAAACCCTTTGCAAAAAGAAGGTCTCAGGTTCAGTGCCTGACACTTCCAGTTTAAGAAAAGAAGGTCCAGTTACCGGATAAGGAGAGCAGGCACAATTCTGCTCAGCTGAATACTTCCCTGGAGCTCAGTGGTAGAGAAGATATTTTGTGTGTTGAAGGTGCCCGATTCCATTCCTGGCATTCCCTGTTAAAATGATCAGATTGGTTGGAGCATGGGGCTGATAACAACACGGTTATCCCAAGTATGGGATAACTTCATATTCCTGCATTGCAGGGCTTGGACTACTAGAAGATGCTCAGGGTCCCTTCCAGCTCTGTGATTCTATGAATTCTATGTGACAGACTTCTTCTTGATTCCTGGAGAGTGGCTGCCAGTCAGAGTACACAACATTGGGCTTGGCAGACAAATATTCTGAGCTGGTCTGAGGCAGCTTCCCATGTGTGATTTCTTACAAGTTTCAAGAGGTTGTTGTTGTTGTTGTTGTTGTTTAGTCATTTAGTCATGTCCGACTCTTCATGACCTCATGGACCAGAGCACGCCAGGCACTCCTGTCTTCCACTGCCTCCCGCATTTTGGTCAGACTCATGCTGGTAGCTTCGAGAACACTATCCAACCATCTCGTCCTCTGTCGTCCCCTTCTCCTTGTGCCCTCCATCTTTCCCAACATCAGGGTCTTTTCCAGGGAGTCTTCTCTTCTCATGAGCTTCACGATCTGTCCTTCCAGTGAGCACTCAGGGCTGATTTCCTTAAGAATGGATAGGTTTGATCTTCTTGCAGTCCATGGGACTCTCAAGAGTCTCCTCCAGCACCATAATTCAAAAGCATCAATTCTTCAGTGATCAGCCTTCTTTATGGTCCAGCTCTCACTTCCATACATCACTACTGGGAAAGCAGTGTCATACATCAAGAGGTAAGCAGTGTCAAAAGACATTGTGCAGCCCAGCTGAGGCACCCCCAAATTTCCCTAGTAATAAACTGATTAATATTTCAGTCGAGCCCTCTAGTATAGTAAATACAACCTGAGCAGTTTCCCTCCAAAGCCAGCTTCTCCTCACAGCAGTGATAGACAGCCTGGGCTGTCAAGATGGCGTCTCTTTCTTTTAAGATGGGAGCTTGCAATGTCAAGCAGGCCAAGCCAGGTTCATCACAGTATTTGAAACATTTCCAAATTGCTTCTGGTGTTTGCATATACATGCTGATATGGCTGGTTTGAGTTATACTCAGGATTCCTATCATGGCAGACAGTAATGAACTGCAGGCTTTGATACTGGGAAAGCATCCTTATCCCCTTTTCAGGTTAATTAAGCAGCTTCTGGCTCCCCTTCTAGCTCAGTCCCTATAGATGCATTTGGAACACAATGTTTATTGATGGATCAATTAGGAGAGAAGCTTCTCCAAGCGTTAGTTAACAAAAAATGTTGGGGGGGGGGGAGGATTTCACAGTAATGTTAGAAATAATTTCCTACTTTCCGGAACAGAGGGATCTGTCCTTATTTTAGCTTCCTTCTATCCCCAGCCCTAGTTATCCCTGTGTGATTTAGAGATTGCCCCATCACCTCTCATCCTGCTTTACCTTCCATGCTCACTTTGGCTTCGTAGCACATGAGCCTAATTATTCTTTCCCCCAAAAGTGAGACTCATAATATTCTGCTCTTGAACATGAGCACATGCAAGCCAACCATTCTGGAAGCTCTCTTAATTTTGCCAGCCACAAAGCTTCAATCTACCCACTTCAAACAGATCCAGAAATCAAAGGAGGTGAAATTAGAAAGCGATGATTCCCCACACCCCAATATATGCTCTGAATTTCTCTCTCTAATTGTACAGTTTTGGGTTAAACCACAGAGCCTAGGACTTGCTGATCAGAAGGTCGGCGGTTTGAATCCCCGTGACATGGTGAGCTCCCGTTGCTCAGTCCCTGCTCCTGCCAACCTAGCAGTTGAAAAGCACGTCGAAGTGCAAGTAGATAAATAGGTACCACTCTGGTGGGAAGGTAAACGGCGTTTCCATGTGCTGCTCTGGTTCGCCAGAAGTGGCTTAGTCATGCTGGCCACATGACCCGGAAGCTGTACGCCGGCTCCCTCAGCCAATAAAGCGAGATGAGCGCCGCAGCCCCAGAGCCGGTCACTACTGGACCTAATGGTCAGGGGTCCCTTTACCTTTACCTAATCACTCTTTTAAAGAAACAAATGTCATAGTATTTTTCTTTGTTCTCACCATATCTTATCATTATTCAGAAAAAATATTAATTCTTATTTAAAAAAATAAAAGCAATTAAAAAAACCCTGAATCAAAATATACACAATGATAAGAATATATTATGGGGAGGGTCTCAATAGTAGAGTATTTGCTTTGCATTTAGGAAGACTCAGATTCAATCCCCAACATCTTCAGATAGGATTGGGAGAGAAATCCTAAACAGCTGCTGCCAGTCAGTGTAGGTAATGCTAAGCAGTATAAGGCAGCTTCCTATGTTCCTAATACAATATAAGATACAGTTCTGATTTACTGTAAAACTGACAGTAGAGATAGCTAGGATCAATCCTCTGGGAAGGCTTGTCTGAATTAAAACTTCTTCAATAGGCACTGAAACTCCAGTGAGCCATTTTTTGACTGTAATCTTCTGCCTGAAGAACTAGTAATTTGAAGTAAGTATAACTTGAGTTTGTGGATCATAAATTTTGGATTAGCACTGTCCAATCTGTCTTCGAAGGCAAGGGATGAGAGGGAGAATGCCAGTTTAGGGATTACTCAGTGAAAATATAAACACAGACATGTGCTTGGAATATTGAAAATGGTACTAGATATTCGCACCTAACTTTGCTGAAACTGCAATAGGCCAAGTATTGTATTTCTGAATATTCACTTGTGGCAAAATGCTGCATTTTTGACTATGGCATGTGAATGAATTGGTTCAGGGAAGGTGGAAAGAACAGGAAAGGGGGATTGATTCCATCTGGCATACTGTGATGGAATGATCAACACAGTGTGGCATTGAATACCTCTCTATGTTTTATATTTTACAGCCTAGCAAGCCACCTTATGCTGGATCAGGTCACTGAATCTGAACATAGGTGTATGTTGCTCAGAATTATCTACAATGATTGGCCGCAATGCTCCTACTTGGAGATGCTGGGAATTGAACCCAGAACCCTTTTCATGCAATGCCTATGGCTAAGGCAAGTTATAAATAAGACATACTAACAAGAAAGCACCTGTTCTTTGTACTGATAAACTCCTGTGGAAGTGGTAAACAACAAGGTTAGTTGATTAGACATCGACTATGTGATTTGACAAAACTCAAATGACTAAGTGAGGTCACGGTCTGCCACCTTTCTTGTTTCTTCTGACCGCAAAGCCATTGAGCTGGTCTCTGAAGAGGACTGGAGGTTGTTTTCCGAGCAGCAATATGGCTTGTTGGAAGGTAGCAAATAAAGTTCTTAATGTTATCACCAGTGTTTACATATCCGTTTTGTGGCACGACCACTCCAAGGAGAGCAGCCTGCCAGCTTTACAGTTGTACCTTGGGCTACAGACGCTTCAGGTTACAGACTCTGCTAACCCAGATAGTACCTCAGATTAAGAACTTTGCTTCAGGATGAGAACAGAAATCGTGCAGCAGCGGGAGGCCCCATTAGCTAAAGTGATACCTCAGGTTAAGAACAGTTTCCGGTTAAGAATGGACCTCCAGAATGAATTAAGTTTTTAACCTGAGGTACCTCTATAAATGAAGAGAGTCGATAATACTTGCAACACCCCAAATGAAGAGATAAGACTCAAGTCTTCGGGGGATTAAAAATGAGCAACAACTTTCCTGGGGTTCTCTTTCCACTCCCTGCCCTCCAGTGTCGGGTGTCCAGTGTGAGGCATATTTGTCCTTCTTTCTCAGCATTTTTGGGGTGAGCTCCAGGGCCTATGCCTGCTATTCCTCCTACCCGTAGTCCCACATTTGTGTGCAGAGGAAAGTTTAGGGTTGTATTCATTGTAACACAAAGGAGATTGCTTGACAGAACCCTTTCCCCTCTTCCCCCCACCACAAACTATTCAGAGGGTTATCTTGACCCTTTGGAGCAGATTTGGGAATGGTGTGGGGACAGAAGAGTGTGGGGAGAGACCCATTGTGTTAGTACAATGATTTAGTTGAATAGAGCCCTTACTCTCATCAACACCCATGGCTAGCCCAAAACATTTTGGTACCAGAGGCAGAGCAGCTAGCTGTGCCCCTTTCCCTTCTAAACCAAGGTGCCCAGGGCTAGTAACACCTGGAGCAAAAAACAAGTCCTACATGCAGAAAAGCCTCCTCCCTAGCAGTAGAAAATACAATAATAACAAGACAAACTAATGATTTGCTGCCTTCTCATGACAGCCATAATCCACCGCCTGAGGTAGCTGTTTCACTGTCTAATGGTAGGACCAGCCTTATTAAAACTCCATGAATCTTGTTGGGTTTGTATGGATGAGTTGATGGACCTCAAGGTAAGGCCCTGCTCTTATTCCTTCTAGCCTCATGGCACTGAAAGTTCAGGTCTGAGGAAGCCTCCCTTTCCCTGAAAAGATGTCACATGGTGCTCGCCAAATGTTGATTTCTGTTTTCTTCCCCTGAACCAGCACAGAATCTTTAGCCCTTCCGATATTGCTGAACTACAACAACCGTCATCCCTGGCCACTTGCCATACTTCCTAAGGTTAATAGGACTTGGACTACCTCAGGAGAACTAAAGATTCCCCACACCTGATGCCGATTCCCCCTGCCACTGCCGCCACACACGTGAGGTAAAATATTTCCATGCAGTCCCAGTAACAGACAACTACTTGAATCCACACACTGTTTCCATACAAACCAAAGGGAGAGAAGGGAGGTGCATCTCTGATTTTAAAGACTCTGCATGTGGCTGTACTGCAAGTCGCTCTTCATTCTGTCATCCTCCTGAGGTGTTGGGTGCAAAACTGCTCCCCTTCAACGCCCAACCTGAGGGTTCCCTGGCAAAGCGGAGTCATAAAAAATAAATGCCAAGATTCTGTTCCAGCGCCCCTTTGATTCTGCCCAGATTGTGGCATGATGACAACCGTTCCGTATTAAAGGCATTAAGAGTCACAAAGACCTCACGCTGACCTCTTAAATCCAGATAATAACAAAGGAACATCAAGGTCCTTGCCCTTTGAAACTCATGTAATGCCAGCAGATGAAGCGGCAAATCATCTCAAGGGACTGTATTGAAGCCTAAATATCTGAGATTGATTCAGCTGAGCTCTGGCAGATGTGCCAAGGCCTTGGGCTGGGGAGCTGCATGTGCTTTTGTGCACCCGGGTGACACTTGGATCAAAGCTATTGTTTTGTTTTTTTAAAAAAGAGGCACCATCATTTCCCAACAGCTGTCCATGTTTTTCTTTACAAATTACACTACACGAGGGCAAGTCATATGACACTGCTCCTACAGGACAGCCACAGGGAAAAGAGGAGCTTGGCCTGACTTCTACTGCCAGTGACCCATGCTTGGATGATCTGAGCATGTGCTGTGGCAACATGGAGTTGTTTTGGTGCACTACAGTTTAGGCATGTGGCAGAAGCAGCTGGAAATCAGTACGGAATATATATTTCTCTTGAAATGCTGACCGCCATGCTTTGAAATGATTGTGTGGCTCACCCAACATGCGTGCGTGCACATGCACACATACACGCACACGCATACACACACACACACACACACACACACACACAAACACATCCTATCGTTCAGCCCGGACACTGAGGTCCAGCTCTGAGGGCCTTCTGGCAGTTCCCTCACTGTGAGAAGTGAAGTTACAGGGAACCAGGCAGTGGGCCTTGTCTGTAGTGGCACCCGCCCTGTGGAACACCCTCCCACCAGATGTCAAGGAAATAAACAACTATCTGACTTTTAGAAGACATCTGAAGGCAGCCCTGTTTAGGGAAGTTTTTGATGTTTTATCGCTTTATTATTATTATTATTATTATTATTATTCGGCTGGGAGTCACCAAGAGTGGCTGGGGAACCCAAGCCAGATGGGTGGGGTATAAATAATAAACTATGATGATGATGATGATGATGATGATGATGATGATGATGATGATGCCATACTAGGGATGAACCTACCTAATTTTCCTTTTCTGAAATAACACGCAAACAGAAACACAGCTATCCTTTGAAATGTGCATTTCTCATTTTGAAAAACCATTCATTGCAATTTTCTGACTAATCATTATCCCACTACCACTCCCTAGACTCCCAGCCTTGTTCCCTTGGGGGTGCCTCATCTGGTTCCTCCCACCACTCCTCTGCATCCTACCAGTCCATGACATCGTGCCATCAGCAGACTCTTCTTATGAACATTATGATGCCTGCCTGAAACCCAGAAGAGTCACTGCCAGTCAGTGTAGATGATACTAAGCTAGCTAGAGCAACGGTCTGACTCAGTATGAGGCAGTTCCCTACCTTCCTGCGGAGCTAAGCAAGCAGAGAGTTCCAGTGGCCACGACAGTGGTGAGTTTTGAGAATTTCCATTCCACCTTAAGGAGCAGACGTGTGGAACTGTTGCGTGTCACATGTCTGTTTACATTCCAGCACATCTTGCTGGGAACTTCCATTGTGTGTATTCCTTTTGCTTTTCCCTGTCTCTCTGAGAAGACGAAGAGAGAGAGACAACATGTTTCTTTGTCCTGATTTATGATTAATAAATCTGTAGTTGTAGTATGCTTTCACAAGCCTCATGCCTATTCTTTGTGTGCTGTTCGATCTGCTGATAGTGTGCCCTGGCTTTGAAGCCCAGGTCGCTGATTTATGCGGCCCTCTGCATGCCAGCTTACTTCCCAAATGAATATCTCCATGAGCTTTTGGGTCAGATTGGGACTGTATTGTGGAGGAGTGTGGAGGGCAAGGATGAGGATGCCGTTGGACTACAACTCCCATCATCTCTAATCATTGACCATGCTGGCTAGGGCTGAAGGGAATGGGGAACCAACAATATCTGGAGGGGCATAGGCTCCTCATCGCTAGTGTAAGGTGCAATCTGTCCCCCTGTAGAGTGGGGGCTGGATTATGAGAATTCAAAATGAAACTGCTCAATGCTAGCACATAGCTATTGAAAAGCAAATCCAAATTCATAGGTACATGACGCTGTTCAAAACTACAGAGGGAGTTCTATAACAATCCTCTCTCTTTGTACCAGAAGAAGATGTCTCTGGTACTTTCCTTTCCTTCAAACACAGTGAGCAAACATCACATTTTGCTGCTATCAAGCACCAGCCTGCCTCTGTCTTTGCTCTCCTCGTCTCATTTTATGCTCTCCCCCTTTATCTCTTGACATATTTTGGCAAGGCCTCTGTAGCTTGCAATGCCAATGTAATATATTTTGCACATGAATTTCGATTAGAAGATGCTGCTTTGATGAATGCAAGACTGTGAAGGCTCGATCGTGGAGAGCCGAAACAGGTTATTCCCCTTTTCTATTTTGAGTTGCGAGAAATAAGCTCTACTAAATGGTCCTCAAACAAGAGAAAGCTGAAGATTCAATAACTATATGGAAGGATTCTGCTGAGAACAGATGGCAAGTGTGTTTGTCTTTTCATGCTCTTGTGAAAGGATAAATTGCAACCCTAAGAGATTTCAGTTCTAGGACACGGCAGAAAATAGCTGACTATGAATGTCAATATGCGCCTTTTCTGCTTTGGCCAGTTGTCCATATAGCCTGACTCCTGCTGATACCATCTGGCAAGTCTTAAGGGCATCAGAAATGTTGGCACCCCTTTCCTTAGTTGAAACTGTGTCTAACTGTTGACTTTGTGGGGGCCTCTCATTTTCTGCCTGCTGGTTCAATTCCAGAAGAAGTTTTACCAAAAAAAACCCAAGGTAATACAAAAGCATAATAAATAAAAAATCTTACATAATTCTCATCAATTACACAATGACATTATTAAAAGCACCATAAAAATAATATAGATATCTGAAATGACCCCACCACACACACATGAAAGCTTTCTACCCCTTATAGCTTTCAATACCGTCAAAAAGTCTCCCTAGAGGGTCAGAAGCATTCACCAACCTTGAGCAGTGAGTTGTACAGGGTTGCAGCAGGAAGGAAGAGAATTAGCTTGAAGCTCAGCGCCAGTGAATCCGAAGAGATATCCCCAACCATTGCAGTACTTTACAACTCACACTGCAATGTTTCATAAAGTTCCCAGACTCTCTGGAGAGGCTTTTGTGGGGGGGAAGTATTGGGGTCTTCAAAAGAGTAGGGAATGGTTCATTGCACAGATTTGTATTCTAGTTGCACAGTGCTGGATATTATTATATAAATGTTTGTAGGCCGATTACACCCTCATAGCAGACAGAGTGCTTTAGATTTACATTTAAAATACGTTGCACTATTCCGCACTTAATAATCCTAAAAGTTAACATAATTTCTAAAATATCAATTTTTAGACAAAAGATTAATGAGAGTCATTTGGTGTGTTCTTTACGGCCTCGCTGCTAATTATATTATGCTATATTCGATCTGCCATTACCTTTCCAATTAAACTCTGTAATTTTAAAAAGTGCCCTCATTAGTTATTTGATTACTTAACAAACCTCTTTTGTAAAGCTAATCTCTCATCTACCCTCTGGAATACCACTATATCTTTTCTGGATAGCATCTGGAAAACATCCACTTCAATATTTTAACACTAACTTCTAGCTACCATGATATTGAAATTGGTATCTTTGCTTCACTGCGTTCTGGCTGGTATTTAAAAGCAGCGACCTCTTCAAGCAGAGTGCTATAGTTACCGTAATCACTGACAGAATTAGAATGTAGCAAATGCCACACTATCGAACCACAAGGAAAGGCTCCAAACCTTTATTTAACACATGGCATTGGATTAACTAGGGCCACAAATGTATTAACATTTAACAGCAAAGGAGATCTGCAGCAGATTGAACTGTGCAGACCCATTTGACAAAGGCAGGAGGCAAGTTGCTTCAGCCCTCTTCAGCTTCAATGAAGGTGAGCCTGACCCAGCTATTTGTGTGGCGAGTTCCCGCCTCCCCCCAGTAGGAATAAAGACGCATGACACTGTTATTTTAGGTTAATGGGCTAAAATTGGCCACAACTTTATTGGTTACAGGTGATGAGCGGTATTGGCTTAGGCATTGGTCCTAACCGACTATCCGGCTTCAGCCTGTGTGCTTGAAGACCAGGAAGCGTTAACACCAGCAGGGGGAGCCCTGCTGATGCACATCAACTAGGAACTCCCCCGGGGTCACCGATCGGGGGCGTGCCTTAGGCCCTCACTTCATAGGCTTCGGACAGGGCCACGCCCCCCGGAATCCTTTATCGGACTACCCTTCAATATCCGGGGGAGGTGATGGCGCTTCCTCCCCCCATCCATCTACATAACAATACCCCTACCAATGCCTAACCGCCAGTACCAAGGAAGTTGTGAAAAACCAAATGGCTGGTGCCAATTTGCCAAGTGGGAAAAATTCCTACCGGGCCCCTTAACGGCGACCAACCAAGGTCCATAGCAAGGTCAGAAGGGAAACCTTGAAGGGAGGGTGGGTGGGAAACCGAGCAGCTGAGCGGCCAAAGATGGAGATTCCCGGCTGTGCCTGCCTTAAATGGGGCAGGCCACACCCCCTGGGCCAGCCGATTGGCTGGCCAGGGGATGACGCGGCCGAGGATTCCCCTAATTGCGCGGAGGCTGAGACCCAGTCCCCGTGCGCGTGTTGGGGGCGTGAAGCCAGCAACACCACCTCCTCCTGAGCTCGGAAGTGGCTTAACCATAAATTGGGGGTGGGGGGGACCTTTTCCAGTTTAGCCCATCATGGGCAATCTTTACGGGGGCCACATGCCAATGGCGGGCATGGCCAGAGGCAAAATGGGTGTGGCCAGAGGCACAATGTGCAACCAACTGTCCTTGTACTAAACTCTCAGAACAGAGACTTTCAAATCGGGCCGACAAGAGGCAAGCCATGGGCTTAGAAGCCTTGCTGAAACCCCAACTCTTGACAGCTTTCCCCTTGTCCCACTACAGGGTTTGAGTTGAAAGAACAGAAAGAGTGGTGGAATGCCCTCATGATGCATTTATATAGAGATTGTCGTACCCCACATGTGCCTACATTACCACTTCAGTCAGCAGAATTGGCACCTTTACAAATGCCGCATAATACCTGCACCGTATCTGTGAGAATTCAGTCGTTTGGTGTGGAACCACTGACACTTTGGAACTCCCTGCCTATTGAAATCAGGCAGATGCCTTCACTGCATCCTTTTCCATGCCTGCTGAAAACAGTATTATTCAGTCAAGCCTACCCAGATGTTTCAAAAGTTTGTATGAGTTTTAATTTGTTTTAGTCTATTATGTAAAATGCTTTTGTAGTTTCTGCATGTTTTAAATTATGGCTGTATTTTTTTAACGTGATAAATTTATTGTTTTATCCTTTTTGTAAACTGCTTTAGGTCCCCCCCAACAATCAGTTTTATGAAATAAATAAATATATATATATATAAATAGTAAATAAATTATTGTTCTCTTGAAGAGATCACCTTAAATATGAGAATGTGTAAATTTCCTTTTAGATTGCAAAATATCCCCCTGTATATTAGAGGTTAGGGAAGAAAACCTCCTCTTTAAAAACAGTTTATTGAGACTATACAGAGCTAAGAAAAACAAGCTTCTAACTGAGAATAAGAAAGCAAACGGGAATCATTTTTCTCTGCTCCACAGTAGCCATGGTTTGGCACAATCTTTATGCCATGATAGGCTAGGTTTTATTTGAAATTTTCACTGCGGCTGCTGGAAGTTCTGAAGAGGCAAGTCGTTTCCCAGTTTGCAGTTTAAAAATGTGAAACGGGCTTGCCTCTTCAACATGTTATGGTAACTTTCAAACAGAAAGTTGTTGCTCATCAGGATTTCTCTCTACTGTTGTTCAGCTCAGTGTCTCTTAGCAGCCCTCTGAAGGTCACAGTTCACAGTTCTGACCACACTTACATCTGCCAAGGGTTCCCAACATGTGCTCTAGAGAATATGACATCATAGTCAGTTCACACTTGTTTGGTGTGGAGAGCAGGCATCAATGAATTCATAGGCTGATGGGTTTCTGAGATGGTGAAAAGTTACAGCAAGAGTATATAGGAATACTCTCACATATAGAGACAAATTAAGATGCCACAAGATAGATAGATGATAGATAGATAGATAGATAGATAGATAACTGTAGCATAAAAGTTCATTACTTAAAGTGCTTTAATGTTCTTGGCTCATATCCCAAGACATGAAAATAAGCCTGCAATTAATATATGCTGTCACTTAAAACTGTTGGCCAAACTTTCCTACATTTGGAATAGATATTCATTGGACTGCCATCTTCACATAATTTATGCCAGAGCTATCTCACTGGTGTCGATCTTGTGATATGATCCTTAAGTGGACAGAGTTTGGGTGGAAGTAAAGAAATATGGAAACTGGGATGGGGGCGAGGTCTCTAAAATCCCCTGGCTCTAATTAAAGTATGGTTCTGAAGATCATTAGCTTCAAAGGCTCTAACAGTTAGAGAAAATGGAGTTTAGGATTTTAAATTACCTATTAGGAGTATCATTATGCAGAGGGTTA